ATCGTAATTCCAGATTTCCACCTCGGTTTACGTATGATTTAACCTTGTCTAATAATTACATTTAACCGCAACGTTCAGAATGCATTATTGGAAAATCCAACGTGTAATGAAGAGTTAAATCGGTATAAATGTCGATTCAGAAATCAGCTAATTCTGCACGGAGGCTCAAGGCAACAGGTGCGCGGAATCACACGGTCAGATGAATCCGTATCTCCTTCTAGAGATATCTAGACCCACAAATCTGTCACCTGCCTTCGATTTCCTGTGGACTCGTACTTTCACGGGTGAAGAAAATCCGCAAATCCAAGCGCACACACACACACACACGAAACCGCTAATCCATGAATTTATCAAGTACGTCGAATCCGTCGAGACTCGTAGATGTAACGATAAATTTTCCATATAGAAATGCACGCTCCTGTATCAAATATAATGTCTTGTATAAAAATCATTCTTGGGTCGCTTCCAAACAAATTTTTTCGTGTCTTTCTAAAAGTTCTTCGAGACAGTCAAACCGCTAACAGGAGAGAATATTTTTCGCACGTGAAAGTTTCCGCTCGCGGAATTATAGCGAATCATCTTGTATAATCGTCAAGCGAGCTCTGCTCCCCCGAAACAACAATAAGATATCTCAAATAACCTTCTGAGAAACCGTTCAGGCAGGCTCTCGCGAAAATGGAAGCGACAGCTCTGGCGAGAATGTAACAGGTCGAAGAAGCGCTTGCCAGATTACGTTACTTCTCGATCTCGGGTTTACGCACCGACGAAACATTTCGCTTATTTTCTCAAGACTTCCTTTTCATCTTCTTTTGCGTTCTTAATTCTAGTGCGCGTGCCGTTTCGAATCCAATACCCATGATATCTTTGCTCTTATAACGCATCATCTTTCAATTTTTACAATAATGGATGCGTTCATCTACAATGTACTTTTGTTTTTCTTTTTACATGCAACTATTTACCCTACTAAAAGCCCGAGAAATAAAAATATCATGATATAGCTTCTGTTCTTAACATAACAAACGTAGTGAATTGTTCTTTTCTGACACGTATAACAATTAGTTTTGTCATTTTTATTATTTTAATAATAAATTAATTCAAAAAGTTGTTTTAATATACAAAATAATAGAATAAAAATTGTTATCAGCTTAAAATGTGTAATAAAGTTTTTTACAAAATTAAAATTTTGGTATATTGAATTGAATAATTTTTAAAAAAATTTCCAGAGTTGTTAATTTTTTAATAATTTCGGGAAATCTAAAAGAAATATTTGAATTATTCTTTTTTTAACAAATAAATTTAAATAATGTATCCGCCTGTGCCGCAAATTAATGTCCAAAATAAATAAGAATTGCAGAACTTCTTTTCCAGTTCGTAGCTGTTATCTTAAACTCGCTATGAAAACGCTGGCAAGAAATCAACGTTTACCAATGTAACAGGTGGTCGAATTCGATTTACGATGAATCAGCTTATTCCAGGAAACGCAACAGTTTTGATTAGACGAAAACAATCGGGAGTATGAAAGATGTGAAGAATGGGGAAATGGATTCGATTATTCGGAAAGTTGCTTGAACAGAAATAGTGCCGGAACTCCGTTCCACTTATATTCTCTCTTACCACGTTGGTTAGTTTCCGATAAAACAGAATCTACTTTGCCAAGTTGGAAACTCAATTAGAAAGCTCGATTAATAACGTCAACCAAATGACACAGCTGCAGTTGACTCACATTTTTATACGTACATGTAGAATATCACAGAATTAAAAGAATATTAATTATAATATTAATTAATTGTTAAATTTTAATTTATAATTACAAAGAGAATAAAATTACATAACGAATTTAATTTTGCGTGCTGACGTTATAGTTTACTCTTAAACTTCGTTCACTCAGTTACGCAGCAAACGGAAGAGTTGTTAACCGCAATCGATTGCATCAGATTATAGTTTGCTATCAAACTATTTGTATCGGGTGGAATAGTGGCAGATCTGATATAGCACACGAATTTCAAGGGACCGTTTATCCCTGTGAGTTAGAAGCGATCTTGTCGCTGATATATCCGCTGATCTAAACCACCAGCTTCGCCCGGAAGGCACGTTTCGCTCTTAAACAGTAACTTTCCGGGTATGATTAACAAGCGGGCAAGCAAACGATTTGATCTGGGCGTGAAACGAGGGACTTTATGTCACTTTAACGTAAATTCAAGCTCTAACTTTGTTACTGCGCTGCACTTCACTTCCGCACCGAGGACGAGCAGAGAAATAAATAGAAAGAGAGAGAAAGGGTATAGAAGGAAGAGAGCAATTTAGATAGAATTGCACGAATACGTCTGCAAAAGCGATCAGGTAGAATATCAAGAATGCGTAGGATCCTGGAAATGTTTATACAAACTTAGACAACATAATGATATACATTTTGATAGTAGCAAATTTCAGTAATAAATTCTTCGACAAAGCTGGAGTCAATTTTTAAATAGAAATAAATTATTAAAGAGTTATAATATTTTAACGTTTAGTTTTTAACATATATAATAACTTGTTTCCGGTTTAAGATTTTAATGAAGATTAATATGTATAATAAGTTCTAATTAAAATCTGAAAATAAAGTGAGAAGAAAAAAGTTTTTCAGCATATTTTTAGAACCATTTAATCTTACGTGAGATTGACAAAACTAGAACTTCAGCTATTTAATTTAAAAAATTATTATTACAAAAATATCAGCTTTATACTGTAAATTAATAAATTAACTAATAAATTATAATAATAGCTTTCAAGTATTGTAAATAATGTATATTAAAAATAGATATAGATGAGAAAGCAATGTTTCGAGCATCAACATCACGCTGACATATTTGTTAACGGCATTACGCGACTATATGTCAAACAAATATCAACAAGATCGTAATAGCTCGTCGAAAAAAATTATCTCACGACGCTGTTCTACTTCTTAGCTTCCATTAATATAATAATAACGTTTTCTTAATAGTCCACGGCTTATCGATTAATCGAAGCTTAATCGATATCATCTAGGAATTAAACTACTCGGCGATGCCACCATGGAATTGCCGTAAGGTAAATCAAATAGTGCCGATCGGCGATCAATTTTTTCAGATATCAACCTCTCGGATATCAACCTTACCGCTAAAGTTACCGAACACTCATCTCTATTCGCGTAAGTAAGAGTTATTATAAAACGCGACTCTAGACGACTAGACGGACGAGTGTAAATGACTTTCACGCGCATTCACTGGCTCGTCGAACTCGAGTTAAGCTCTCGTACGTGGTAGAGCCATTTCGACGTCATAACTATAGCCGCTCTATTTTCGCTTATCTCAACGCCGCCGGTCTTCTCCCCTGCTGAATCTCTCTCGCACTCGTGTATTTCTGGCGCGGCTTCTCGCGAAGTACATACACACGTGGGGCAGAAACGCGAAGAAGCACAGTTCGAAATATTTTGATTAAATCTATTTTCATTCTTTATCCATGTAAATTGCCCTTTGATTCCATGAAAAGTAATAGCGTCACAATGAAGAGAATACTGTCCAAATACGAACTCCACGATGCTATTGCAGTGTATTTGAAATTTCACAGAAATTGTCTGAACGTAAGAAAATAAATAGATTAAATGGAAAATGGATGTTGTTTCAATGCATTAATATTATCATTAACAAAATTATTTTCTTTTCATTATTTCAAGTAAACTTTATTCTTTTCAAAGCGTTCTATTACTCAAACTTGATTCTATATAAAGCGTGCGCTTAGAGAAGTTATATTAGAAATTTAAAAACTACAGGACACAAAATGCTACTTCAATTTCTTGTAACTATGAAAAAAGTTTTGAAGTCTAAAGTTTGCAAGAACGAGAATACGCAATCTCGGAGACATCCTATCTGATAATTTGACCAAAACTTACTCTCTATGAATTTATATTACGTATTTAAATAAAATATAATTAGCGCGTTTGATTAAAAAGGTAACATAGAAAATTCCGATGCAAAGCATAAATAAATTTTATTAAACAATTGGAACTTTAAATAGAAACGTGTAATCATTAATCCGTTGTAAACGGTATTTTTATTAAATTAATGCAATATTGTAAAACAGTTCAGTTTAACCGATAATCGATTCGTCCGAAACCATGCGTCGTTACAAAATATCGAAAAATTCAACAGTTGCTTCGCCCACACAAACCGATACTTTCGTGGTAAATCGAGAATGTTTGTACAATACTGGAGGCTGTCAATAATTTGCGCCCAAGTATACACACTCTGAAAAAGTTTTTATTCGCTTTTACTGTTAAGCGAACGTCGATGGTTCGTGAAATATTTGGGAAACCAGAACAAAGAATTTCGAAAATACATTTGAGGACATAAAAAATTAATATAAAAATATTTGAGATATTAAATGTTACAATATAATATATATTTCCCAAATGTGTAGTAAAAGATTCCATTGAAATATCACATAGAAATCCGCCTATTCAAAAATTAAAAATTTAAAGCGTACTTTTTCAGAAGCTTTCTTAAAAACTCCCCCGAGAAATCTAAAAATTTAATTACCTGATGGATTCCACGCCTATCTTATAAATTTAAGACCCTTTCGAGAGTTTAAAATCTAATAAAATCACGTAGGATTATTAATAAATGAGACAATATACACCAAGTTACCCATAATAAAACTCAATAATTTTTGCATTATAATTTTGTGAAAACTATTGAATTAAATAGTTAAAATTCCTAAATTACGATTATATTGTTCCATTCTATCTTATCAATCAATCAATTCTACCAATGTCACTTTCTCTTTCAAGTCCATAATAGACAGTCTATTCTCTCTCTTTCGCATTCCATATTTATCCAGTGTACCTGCACTTCCTAGCCTATCCTACCGTGCGCGCAAGCCATGATCGTCACCAAAGCTCTTGCCTCGACGTTTTTGCGTAAGGAGCGAAATCGTTTCCTACGGTTGTTTACATTTACAACAGGTGGAAGAGGGCTATTTCTGACCTTTGCTGGTGAGACTGAAGCTACGGAGTCTGTAACTATCCTCGTCCTCGCCTTCCTCCCGCGGTGGCATCTGAGACGAGACGTCAGGCACATCCAAGAAGGCGTTGCTCTTCCTGTGATGCGCGTGATGCATACTCTGCCCCCTTCGGCTCCCTCGTCTCCTGATCCCCGGACTGACGTCATTCTCAGTCAGTTTGGGCTCACTGCTGCAGTGGGCTGACTTCATATTGCCTCCCTCATGGTGATGATGATGGTGATGATGAGCGGCGGCTGAAAGCGACAAGATTATAGATATTAGCACTCGATATCGAGTATAGATATACTGACTTTGTCAATAATGTATAATATATTGAACATATTCAAATAACGATGTTATCGCATGCCATATGTTATATTTCGCGCATAAATGTTTTTGTATAATATCAACGTCAATCAATATGAATCACTATAAGTCAAACTATTTAATCTTTTTCAATCAAGGTTTTTATAAGGAATGATGTAAAATAATAAAATTTTAATAAGAAATAACTGTATCGTAGTATAACAGATATTTAAATATAATTACTTGGGAAAAGCGCTTAAAATAAAAGGTTTTAATTTATCGTGGCGTTTAATAAACATGAACAACGTGAAAAGAATTTTAATGATTTTTATCTACCATTTTAAAGCTGTCTCTCCGTTTTCGAATTTTATTTGTGCATGCATTTTGTACAAAAACGTGAAATACCCGTATTCATGTCGAAAACACTGGCTTTTGTCTCTGAAAAAATGTAATTTTTACAGGGATACATTTTCGACATTTTACAAAGTAATGGCCACAATAATACATTTTTACAAGAAAAACACAAATGTATTTCAATGAGTGATAAAAGTATTTTCAAAAGAAACCATTGACGATGTGAACGGGATAGAACGAAAAAGTTCTTTTTCGACTGCATGCCGATCGAGCTTTTCATCAGCAAAGCGCTCGAGAGTAAAGCAAAGAACAGAGCATTTTTCAAAGGCACTACACCTATTACATCGCAAAGTCGACGCGTGGAAAGTCAAGTGATTTAGTACAACCTGAAAGAGGACCGAGAAGTGAAATTAAACGACGCGGAAAGGAAAAGAGAAGCGGACTCAGAATCGCATTTACGAATATTTGCTTCACTTAATCGCGAGGTTTATTGAGCAGACAAATTTTCCCATTTCATCAATTTCAAGAAAAATAGGATATCTCGTTCCAGTATTATTGCGTTTATAGCTTTGAGAGAGGAGTACGCGAGCTTTGTAACAAAAGCTTATAATTCATCCGCGTCTGTGATATCACAATGGATTGATCACCATTTAATCTAACATTCCTAATTCTGTAATACCTAGAGCTGTTTAATCTAATAACCAATTCTATAATATCGTATTAATTGTAAATAAATAATAACTTATTATATAGTATAGTAATCTATATTATATATTATATAGTATAGTATAGTATAGTATATTATATAGTAATCTATATAAATATATATAGTATAATATATGTAATAAAATCGACATGTTCTCGATAATAATAATATTTCTGATAATTTCTAAAATAATATCACGCAAAATATATACCGACAAGTATTGTGTGGATAATTTTTTATCAGACTATCAAGAGAAAATAGAAGAAATGCTGATTAGTTAAATGAAATTCGTATCACGTAACAAGGCTTATTAAGCGAGTAATGCTTGCCAATTTCTACTGCTCTCATGACACATTATACCGAAATTTCAGCTCTTTGTCCTTTAATTAAGACTTAACTGTCTCACTCGCATTACATGTGCGTACAAACAACACGAATTATCGCTCTAATTATTTCTGTCTCTCATTAATGTACATTTCCGTATCTCAATGTTCGCGTAAAACGACGAAAGCGCTGTGCTACACAGCGATGAAAACTGGACTCGCGAAGATACGCGGTACGGCGAGACGTGTTTGGGCTGTTAGTGACCTACTAGCCAAATCCACGTCTGAGAATAGCGGCCGCCAATGATTTCAAGAACTCTCGCCAGACTCTAGAGCGGCCGCCGGCGTTGCCGGTGCAATATCGATACACTTTGCTCTTTCGTCAGAAGGGACGAAAGACTTTGCTCGTACGTCACCGATGACGTTTCTACGAGTTTATCGGATCACCATCGAAGTTACGTCCGGTCACCGCACCACGCAATCCTGTCGCGCAAAATAGACTTTTACGTACCTCGAGATCTGATCTTCGGCCAACAGTGTTCGTATCTTGATCATCGGGAAAGAAGTGAGCACGCGATACCGTCATTTGACAACTTAAGTTCTCATGTATATAGATCCTCGAATTCAAGTGTTCAAAATGAGAGATATGTGCTTTTGAAGAACAGAATCGAAATCTTAGAGTTTCTTAAAACTTGAATACAGAAGTTAGCGAACGTCTCGATTTCAAATTGATTGGCAGATCACTTGTACTTGTAAATCTTTGAATTCTCGAGTCTTTTGGGAATTACAAGTTTTTATCTAGTCGTAAAAATCCCGTGCGCATCACATAAATTATTACTTATATATCCCCCCCCCCCATTCCCGCCATTGTTGTTATTATTACCTTGAGCGGCGGCACGGCGTCGGATGCTTTTATTTCCGCCGGAAACACGGGCACTCTGGGACCTCGTAGCCGGTCTTCGTCTTCTCGTGGGTGTACTGCTATCCGGCGTTCCGCTGCCGCTGTCTCCCCGTTCCCCTCTTTCCCTATCACGAGCTCCCGAGGGTGGCATACCTTCCAACATTTGCTCCATGCTGGAAAATCCTGGGGCACAAATCGAAGCCGATCTGGTTTTTCGGCGAAAAGAGTCTTCCGCCATTTCTTTCAAGTTACCGCAGCCACCACTGTCCCTCCCTTCCCGTCGCCCCACTGATCACCACTCGGATCTTTCGCCTTATATTGATGATTATCTTCTCTGAATTTCTCCGATTGCGTCTTTCTCCACGGATTACTATTGAATCCCGCTGTAGCTTCGTAAAGTTTTTATACTTATTTCGACCACAAGTATGACGATTCCGTTCTACTTGATTCTGTCAGGCACTGTTTTTATACGTTCTATTCTACACTTAAACGCGCACGTTCGTAAAAGTTCTTGCACGACTTCTTCTCGACTTGGAGTCCTTCGCAGGAAACGTCTCGCCGCGTTTGATTTCCGGAATGTCTCTTCGTATGCCGCGAACCTTCCATTCGTGGGATTCGATTACCGGAAAGGATATCAATTCGGAAAAAAATTCTACAGGATATCCAGGGAAGGATGTGACGGTATCCGGTATTATATCGACCTCGTTCCGAAGAGAGAATCCTCGCGTTCTTCTTGACTCTACAAATAAAATATGGGAAATTTGATTTCCTTCTAACCACGTGCGCGCGAATGATATGATCAGAGTAATTACGGCCGTGGCAGATTGCGCCTCTCTTAAACTTTCGATGAAATAACTGACATCTATATTTCTCCTTTTCTGTGTCCCTATTTTCCTTCTTATATCTCCCCCGTCGTTATTCTATCAGCTGGATACGAGCTCGCATGCTAATTAGATCCACCCCGTCGATTATTGCCTCGATTATTCCACACGCGTATCGCGAAAGCTTTGAAAGCGTATATAAATAGAGAAATATCGTATATTTTTTGAATTGTATGGATATTTATTCCTTAAAATAGAAGGTATAAAATATTTTCAATAATAGGTCTTTTTTTATAATTATATTAAACTTTAAAAATTATAAACGTATACATATATATGTAATTTAATTTCACACTACATTCAAATAAATGATTTTGAAATAATTAAGCTTATACTTTAATTTTATTAATTAAGATTATTATAATAATAATTAATATTTATTCAAATCTCTAAATTTAATAAATAATTAATTATAAAAATTTATTTACAAAAAAAATTTATCTAACAATAATCTTGATGTCAAATTCGCGAAAAATTTTTAGTAGTTTAAAAATTAAGAATATCTAAAATGTAAATAAATACAATTTCATCCTTTTTTTAAATACAGTTTTTAATTAGACAAAACTAATTCACATAAATTAAATAAATTTTATTAAAAATTAACTCACGCAGGGATGACTAATCCATGCAATCTTTTAGACAATTTAAACTTAGCAAATCCGGAACTTAATATTTTATTTTAAATATGAATTTACATTTTAAAGCTAGTTCGGACGATATCTAATTTAATCAAACCCAATTGTGAAGTTTAAACGATCGAAAATCTGTCTTGCCTATTTCTAAATTAAATGGGATAAAGATCAGTGACAATATCGAGAATGTAGTTGGCAGTATCCGAAGTTTCAAGCGGAACTCGGCGTAGTTGAAAGACAACTCTGTGAACTGTCGAAGCTGTCGAAGTTAGTGAACGGTGAACGTGATACATCGGGAAGATATCGGTGCGTGAAGATGTTCCGGCAACTATAATCGAGTATCGACAAAGGTAAGCTCAGTCCGACCAATATAACTTTGCGACACCTTATCAATATATTCTCTTCGGTAAAGTTTATGTCTGTGTATTTGGCTTAGAGGTTGCGAGAGAGTGCCGAGGAAATTACGAAACTTGTTGCTGAAAATAATTACCTATCCATATTCAAATAATTTTACTGACACTGATTATACATGTTGTTATGAATTTATGTACAACTTTATTATTTTAGTTTTACGTATATATTTTTTTCACTTTTCATCTAATTATCTCCTAATCAAAGTGTCTTTAAATATTCTTAATTGCCAAATAGCCGATTATTTTTCATAAAAGCAGATAACAAATAAAAATAAATTAATAAATACATTAAATATATATATATATATATTTTTGTATATTATTAATAGGGATATTATATCATATTATTTTGTTCTTTAATTTGTCAAATTACCCTCTTTTGCACATTATAAAGAGAAAATAAGATATTCTACATAAGATTATTTTACGTCTGCTATTATCGCAATACGAGTATCGCGAGTATACCCGTTTATAGAAGGGGCATAAAGTAACAATGACAAGGAAATACCTTTAACGAATGCGATGTTGCAACGGACTTTATTTAAAGCACTTCTCTCGTAAGGTGTCTCCTTTGTGAAATAATATATCATGCGAGGACGCGTTTACCATAGATAGACTGTAGGATTAAGTAGAGGAACTGAAGCTTTCCTTTGGAGTGAGAAAAGGTCTTACGATCTTCTCATCGACGTTGTGCGTTAAAATCGATAGCCTGTATAAGTGCTTCATATGTTCACGCAACATAACTTCACATATAACTTCATATTATGATATTGCAGTCGCGAGTATTGTAAAATGATACGCCCTTTGTAAAATCTCGATATTCTCTCTTCATATCTTATTACTTTTTTTATTACTGCTATATTATTGTTATAATAAAAGAAAGAAAAACTTTAAAATTTATAATATAAACACATTAAAAAGATAAATCGACTTACAATTAGTTTCATATCTAAGAAATAGACAATAGACTTATATATATATTTGTCTATTGTCTATTTCTTAGATATATAATTGTCTATTTCTTAGATGTAAATAATTTAAATAATCACGGCTTTTTCCTATTTTCTACACATGCAGTCATAATTACTTTCTATGTTATTTAATCGTACATCTCTCGTACACAACATGAAATATTGAATCTGTTAATTTTTAACAATTTCTACTTAATTCTACAATTTCTTCAGTTGTCGAGCATTTAGATCTAATCTAAATACAGGAATCGAAATGTATCGTACGCGTAAATAATGTTTTATAATACTCAAAATATATTGAAATATAATTGATATGATCTGTTTTCTACCAACACTTCCGTGCTGAGTTCTCAATCGCGGTTTTATGTGCATATAAAGTATTTTTGTCCATTTCTTGCCAAATATCAAATCTTATTTCTGAAGAATAAGCAAGTCTTATATTTTAAAGTTAAAGAGATAGAGAAAGCTAAAATATACATAATTTTGAAGCATTCTCAATTTGAATAGGATATGAAATGTGATGTGTTTATCTAAGCATTATTTTTGAAATTACACGTACATGTTTAAAATATATGACATCTAATTCATAGTATTTCTTTTAATACTTACTAAAACAAAATGTAAAATTAAATTAGCTTGCATTGAATGGATTAAATATATCAAAATATTTTCATGTTAATGTGTCATGTTAATTGCCGCAGTAATAATTGAGTTTAATTAATATTTATTATAATATTTTCAATAAACATTTAAAGTCTATTTTTAACTTGCTGCATACGCAATCTTAATTTATAACACCCTCGCATTATCAAATATCTAAAATATACTTTATTACAACAGAAGTTAAGTGAAAATAATTATTTTTCCGTTAGAATACAGATAGTACCTACTTTTTCATTCAATTATTCAGTGTTATTTAACTCACCACGGAAGGGCAAAATAGAAGAGAGAGAGAGAGAGAGAGAGAGAGAGAGAGAGAGAGAGAGAGATCGGGCGCTCTTCAAGAATTTCAATTTCAAAGTCAGAGCATCGGTTTTTTTCTGCTATGCGATAATCACTCCGTTCCGCTCGTCCATTTATTTTTTCCGACGACTAATTATAGATAGCGTTTCGCATAAATCTTCTAGGGAAAAGCATAAACATCTCCGCCGATCTGTCCTTCTCCCCTTCGCCCCCCCCTCCCCCCTATACGTTCATCACCGTATCTCACTCCTTCAAGAGCTTCGCCACGGCCGTAATTATCCCCCTTTTTCAATAAACTCCGGCACAACCTCTGCCCTTTAACAGTAATTATATCAAGAGATGATATTCGCGCGCGCCTATCCGTCTCGAGATATCGCCCCAAGACATCGCCGATATGCCTACTCTCGGTCTCCCCGCGCCGAATTCGGGATCTCGCCGGATCGATGTGCCGCGCGCGACGATCGATCCTTACCACTTTAGGCCGTCCACGATTGCGGGATATCTCCTCGTCATTTTCTACTTCATTCTTCTGCGCGGAGACTACGACGGGTGCTCGAATCACATGTCTCGATTGCTCGCACGCGAACGCGTCACGACCGACACGATGCACGTCCGACGATGCGCGGCACACTGGCGGGCAACCCGGCGACGCGGCGGCCGCTGGGGCGAGAACCGACGCCAGGCGTCGGCGTCGGCTCTCTCTTGCACGCCCTCGTCATCTACCACGACGAAGACCGCGACGAAGACCACGACGTGGAGTTGCGACGGCGAAGTTGGTGCGCGTCCAATTCCGCGCGCTCCTCGCTCTTCAGCGATTCGCGCGAGACACTTCGCGGGGAATCGCCGTCAGAGACTTACGGAATGATCTGCATCCAGCAAAGAACTGTTGATAACGCTCGGTACATCAATTATTTAAATCCAATTAAAACGGGCGAGTGCAATTTCACGCGTGTGAGAAATGAACAAAAGGAAATGAATGTTTTCAGAAAGGGGAAACGTTCGATTGACAGTCTAAGAAAGTTTCACGCTTTAACCCTCGAATGAATGACATACGCTGTAACTCAATGAAAACTTCATCTTCATTATCGGCAGCGAACTAACTTTGCGTGACTTACGATTTCTTAGTATGGAAAGCCATTATTCTATTTCGCCATAAAATTTCTTTACTTTTAGAACTTTAGAAACTGTACCTAAAATATAATACCTACCTAGATCTACTTAGAAAGAAATTTCTTCTCGAGTTTGAACAATTTGAAATATACGCAGAGAGAGATATACAGATAAATTTCTAAAGAGAATAGACGTTAATAACAGATTGTTATTAACATCGATTAGTACATTAATGTATAATTCATGGATTAGTCAAATAGATAATTACTATATGTAATTTTCATGCTTTGCATAATTTAATAAAGTTTTCCAAAATAAAT